CAGTGTAACATTGCACTCATCAATTTCCGTTTTATCATCCACCGTTATTTTGACATTCTCACTTTTGTGTGGGCAGTCTTTCGCCCAATGAAACGTGCTTTGGCATACTGCACATTTCGATCGCCGTCCATACTTGTCAAGCGGATTTGTGCCGATCTGTGGAGTTTTCTGTCGACGGTTTTTTTGCCAGTCACCGGTTTTTTTTCTTCGTTGCTCCGTAGCATACACTGTTTCCTGTTTGATGCCCTCCGTTCCCGCACTCGCGCCAAATATCCTCTTCAGCGCCGACTTCATATTAGCAAATGTTAAGTCACTGCATGCTGTTAAAGCCAGCTGTCTGTCTGTCGTATCCAAGCACGCCGTATCCAACAGCTTGAAAGCCAAAACAGCGTCGGGCAGCTCCATTTTGTATTTCCGCATTCGTGAATATCGCTGTTCAAATTCAATAATATAGTCCGCCATGGACCCGTTCACGTCTTTCACAATCCGGTCAAAATCGGAGTAAGCCTCATACGTTCGGTCCTTTTCTTCTTTTAGGAACAACCCATCAAGTTTGCTGAGTAAAATGACCATTCCCGTGTCTTGATTTAAGTCATCAGCGGGAATTCCCATCGCCGTCTCTCGTGCCCTACCTGAAAGCGTCAAAGCCACCGCGAGGGCTTGCTTTTTCTTCTCCAAGTCGGTGACCCTTGTCCAAATTCCGACTTCATTCTTCCAGCTTTCGTAGGGTTTCCCCTCTTCAAAAGGTGGCGGGAGTCTGTAGTTGCTAACCATCCTCTGCTACCAGTGTTAATCCGAATAATAACTCCACTTGTATGATGATCGTAGAACTCTTTATTTGCTCCCACCGCTCCCCTGTACAACCGCTGTCAATCGCTGTGTCACTTTCGTTGTTCCCCAAAACCCCGTGCTCTATATCCCCTTCGTTGAGGCAACACTGCCCCCTAGCGGTGTAATATCGTAAGGGTTATTACTAAAAATTAAACAACAGTGAAGGAGTAATGCAGAAATTGACTTTCGTAGATACTCCTGGATTCGATGGTACGTGGGCACCCCAGCCGAGCTAAGCTAATGGCTCGCCCCTCTAACCTCCACTGACGAGCCTCACTACATCCAACGCCAGATCCTGTTATGTTTTTGTTTCGGAGTGAGAGGTACTGTTATGTTTTTGTTTTGGCTACATTTGGTTTTGTTCCCTCATGTGCCCGCTTTGTCTCCACCTGTTTCGTCATGTGGGTCCTGTTTCTCGTTGTCTCGCCACTTTGCTTGTATTTAATTCCCTCGGTTCTGTCAGTCTTTGTTGGATCATTCTGAGTGTCTGTGTGTGCTCTTGTCATGGGTTTGTTCCTGTAATAGTTTTTTTGTTCCTTTGGTTTCTTGTGATTTTCAGGACATTGTTTGAGTATTTGAGTTCCAGTGAACTCCTGTTTGTATTTTTGTTCAATACATTTTGGTCAGTCCACCCTGCGCCTCCCTGCTTTTTGGGGTCCTCCAACTACCACGATGCAAAACGTAACAGATCCATACCCCACAAAATGATATGGAATTACAACTAGTCGGAAATCTCTGTCTCTACACTGAGATTCAATCCCGACGCTTCAGGGTAATAAAAAACAAAGGCAGCGGTGTCAAGGGCAAAACATGAAGTGGAATCACCAGATTATTTTTTCCAATATGCACGGACAACAGTTGACCACAGCTTTATTACATGCTCGCAATCCTAGGACGGATAAGTGGTTCTGAAAATGGATGGATGGATAGCAAACACTATGACGCTACACTGTGTCCTACTATCACAATCGAATACAATACTTGTTGGAATACAAACAACCACAGCTCCTTGAAGTGCAGCTATGATGAGCAATATTTTTCATAATTTGTTTTTATTTTGGTCCTTGAAAATGTCTTCATATGAAAATGACCAGGAGCACTAAAATAATTGGGGTGCTGCTTTTATTGAAAAATATATGTGCAATGTGCATTGTTGTAAATAATTTTGTGAATGATTTACTCTTGGAAGCATTAATATTAAATATATATAAAACACTAGTGGGGGTGAAAACAAAATATGACCATCTTTATGAATCCATAATGATATGCGTCAGAGCTTTTGAGAGAGCTCATTCCCTCACCATCAGAAGTCACAACAGTTCAGAAAGGAGCAAAACATGAGTAAGTAATAAAGGAGTAACAATGAGTAAACAGTGGGATTGAAATGATTTATTCTTTTAATCTGCAACAATGGATATATTTGTAGAATACAAAAAACTTTGGTTATCAGTACCGGTTTGGAAAAGCAGGACGTTATTGGTTGCCGTATGGGTGGAAACAAAACAGTAATCATGTCGCCCCAGTTTTGTCAATAAGATGAATTGGATGGAAGGTATGAATGCATGAATGACGGTTTTAGAAAGGAAGGGACAAAGGCAGAAATGTTTTTCAGATTAAAAAAAAAATGTTTTGGGAACCTGTTTGTCAAAAGACCATCTGGTAAACAGTGACATCAATGTTGTTAATGTGGAAGTGGTCACAGTGGAGCTGATGATGGAAGGAAAAGGAGAGCCATTCTGAGCAGATCGGGTGAGGGATTTTGGAGCGATGACGATCATTTCAGGTTTGTTGCAGTTTAGTTTGACTCAATATTTCATTTCGGTAACTCTGTTGGTGAGGATAGTGTGGGGAGCAGAAGTGATGGTTTTCGTGGAACTATGTAACTGAGTCTCATCTACAAAGCCAAGCAATGGTACTGAAACCAATGAGCACCGATAACTTACGCAAGGGAAATTTAGACTGTATAATGGATAGAGAGGATATAGAAACAAACCAATTAAGAAAGCCCGAACCTGTTGTGTCTGTTTTTTGCTTTCTCTCTCACAGAGTCATGCCAGATAGAGCAAGCACTTTACTGTTCCACCACGTATCCATCCGAAGGTGTTTGTACGCACAATACCCATCTTATTACAAGAGTTGCACTGAGGCGGCTGATAATGTATTTCAATGAAGTTAAGTTCAAGTCATATTATTATTCAGGGTACGTATGCCACACTTAGGCTTGTGGATGCACACATACATGCACACACTTCTTCAGAGTCTTTGGATGTCCTCGCTGGTTAGGCGGACAAGGTTCACAGTCATGGTTCTTGAAATGACTGAAAACACATTTTTGTGCTCCACATTTCATCTTAAGGAGCTTCGAATTGTGGCAAAAATATAACGTAGCCTCGGCCGAGAGCGTAAAGCACAGGTGTCAAGGCCAAGGTCCCGGGGCCAAATCCCGCCCGCCACGTTATTTTATGTGGCCCACAAAAGCAAATCATCTGTGTCAACTTCCATGATGTTTGCTTAAATCAGTACCGCAATCTCAAATTGTCATAAGTAATACTGTAGTACCTCTACTTACGAACGTCTCTTCATACGAAACTTTCAAGTTACGAAATACCTCAACAGGAAAATATTGCCTCTTGTTACGAAAGAAATTTCAAGATTTGAAGGGTAAAAATACAGTACGGGTTGCTATGTGCAGCTCCGAGTTTCCTGAACGCAACATACTTATAGCTGCTCTGCCATTGGCTATTACCTAGCATCTTCCTGGCATCCCATTGGCTATGAGTCCGTGTGTGTATATCGATAGATATGTCCTTATGCAGCGTCTTTGTCATTCGCCCCTCAGGCCATGAGGTGTTGCGATAGTTTTACGTAAATGTGAATCACTCAGAAAAAGTGTTCACCAGGCGGGCGATCACTCACCTTTGCCATGGACATTTTCGAAGGATTTTTAAAAGCCGACAAGAGCAAACGTCTTTGGATCAGTTCGTTACAAAATACCAGGTAAAAAACATTTCTGAGAGAGAACATGAACTAAACAGGGCAAAAAACAATGAGGATGCAGTTAAAAGTTCATCATTTTTATTCTTTATTTATTTATTTATTTATTTTTACAAACTCTCATTTATTGTGCAATAATCTAATTTGTAACATGTATTTGTTACAAATTTTGATGCATTTTTATGCTTGAGAAAACATTTATGCCTGAATTTTGGGGAGCTTGGAACGGATTAGGGCATTTACATGGAAAACGCATCTCTACTTCTAAAATGTTCTAGTTTAGCAATTTCTTAAGTAGAGGTACCACTGTAAATAATGGCGACATTTTGCAAAAATGTTGTTACACTGTTTATACTCACTTGAGCAAAAATTTAACAAATACTTGACTGATTTCAAATTAGTGAGCCATCTTTTTTTTTTTGTGTACAAGTAATAATACGATGTGATAATTAAACATGTATTCGCTTTAACTGTCTTAATGGCCCTCCGAGGGAAGATGTAACTCCAAAGTGGCCTGCGACAAGAAGGAGTTTGACACCCCTGGTGTAAAGAATGCTGGGGTTGGGATTTGGGTCCTGATTTTTTTGTATCAATCTTCTATTATTATATTATCACCACATTATCACCCAGCCCTAATTTCTTCCTCTACCTCCAATGCACAATTAAATACGACAATATTTCAGATAGCAATAAGTGACGGAGAATGGTTCTCAAAAAAAAAAAAAGTTTTGGCTATTTCTCGCGGGTGGATGTAAAGTTACAAAATGTCATTTTGAATGGGTAATTATGTGAGGTCCAACTGACTGTTTTTTTATCCTGTCGGCATCTGTCAGTGCCCAGAATAAAATAACCTGTGATTAAAAATTGCATGTTGCTCGAACAAGAAATTGCCACGTGTAACAGCTGTGGCAAAAGGGAGGGAAATTATTTTTCTTTTGCCAAGCCCTCAAAAATGCAGCACCCTGAACCTTTGTCGTGCCCAATCTACATCTATGGAGTTTTTCAATTTATCACAATAAACAGCAAAAGGAAACGAGGAGTTGAATTATTGTTGTGCAACTCAGGTTTTACAATCACTCCAGTCTTGTGGTAAGCATAGCAGATGAGGGCCACAACAGTGCAACAGGTTAAATTTTCATTTTATTTAAAAAAAAAAAAAAAGTACATATACTCACAACTTGCTCATGAGTGCAACGCTCCACGTTAATCCCATTGACCTAAAAAAACCAAGAGAGTAGATAGTTCAGTGTTTCTATTTCTTAGTACGTTAATCAATACAATCATTTCACATTTTGGTCTTACACAATGGAAGCAACTAGAGCTGCAAGCAGCTCGAAAGGGCCCTCACAGTGCTGGCCAAGAATGCGGTTGGTGGTCTTGAATTTTACATGCAACACAAGCGTGGTAAATTCACATGACTGATGACACCTTCATTTCAATATTAGTATCTTGAATGTTCATATCTAGATGACGATATGATAATGATATATTGCTCAGCCCAACTCTGTTTCGGTCTGTCATGGTGAATTTCTTGGTCGATCTATGCTCACCTGTGGCCACTGGCAAGAACAAGATCCCGGACGGAGACAAACGGCTTAAATAGGGTGAGGTGTTTGATCATCCAGGAGAGGCTCAGAGTAGAGCCACTGCTCCTTGGTACCGAGTGGAGTCATATGAGGTGGCTCGAGCATCTGGTTAGAATATCCTCCCTGGTGAGGTAATTCAGGCACATCCCACCGGAAGGAGGAGTCGGGGATGACCCAGGGTACGCTGAGAGACTGTGTCACCTGACTGCCCTGGGAACACCGAGGGATTTCCCCAGAAGAGCTGGACAAAGTGGCTGAGGAAAAAGCATTCTGGGCTCCCCCTGCTAAAGTGCTGCCACTGTAACCTGCCCCCGGATAAGATGAAGAAAATGGATGGATTGATGTCGACAATAATAAGCTCTTGAAAAGCAGATGTGGCATATGGGTTTATTTTCTTCTTTTTTTTTTTAATAAACAGCAGTTATGTTTATGTGACTGATTCTGATTGTTTTTTATGTATATATTTAGTATGCTATTAAAATTTGACAGTTAGTCATAGCGTCACTGGAGATGGAGTAGCAGAAAACTCTTCCCTTATGAACTCTGTCTTGTTTCCAAATTGCTTTCTCAGCCTTTGTCTTTGACCGACATGGTTTGAGAAATGTTAGCGAAGCAACTAACGACAATCAGAGTAGTTTCTTCAGGCCAATTTACTTAAAAGGAATTCACACTATTATGCCTATATGGAACTAAATGGTGGTAGCCATAACTTCAGCAAATTCCATCCATTTTCTATTCGTCTTATCCTCACAAGGGTCACGGGGCATGCTGGAGCCTCTCCCAGCTGTCTTTGGACAGTAGGTGGGGGACACCCGGAACGGGTTGCCAACCAATCGCAGGGCACACGTAGACCAACAACCATCCGCGCTCACAATCACACCTTGGGACAATTTAGAGTGTTCCATCAACCTGCCAGGCATGTTTTTTTGGAATGTGGGCGGAAACAGGAGTACCCAGAGAAAACCCAGGGAGGACATGCAAACTCCACACGAGGGACAATTTAGAGTGTTCCATCAACCTGCCGTGCATGTTTTTTCGAATGTGGGAGGAAACCCAGATTATTGATTACCACATTATTATTATATATTATTATTATTATTATATATTACCACAGTAGCCCGGGGAGAACATGCAAACTCCACACAGGAAGGCCAGAGCCGGAATCAAACCCTGTGAGACCAGCATGCTAACTCGTCGACCACCGTGCCGCCCCCTTCAGCAAATTATTTTGGGAAAATGAGATCTGGCTTTGAGTGTAAAACTGTTGCTGCATCGAGGTCAATTTGAAATATTACGTTCTCCTGGGATGTGTCTGACTGCCAGGTTTGATCCATTTATGTAAACAAACAATGGACTTAATTCTTTGTCATTTGTCTAAGTGCACCGCGTGTGTTTGGGTGCACATTCTGGAGGGTGTAAATAAAACGGATGAATTTTGAATGCACTTCATGATTTATCAAATGTGACACAACATGCAATGGCTGATTTTGCGCCTCAGCATTAAGACGAAAGGATGCAAATGTCACCGCTGTGCATGAACCATGAAAAGGATGCATGGGCAAAACAAGGATGAAAATGGGGAGAATGAGTCTTTTCCACTCATTTAAACATTAAACAACGCCGTGAACAAAATTTATTGCAACATACCCTCAATTCAGCAATGCAATTGTAGAGCTTCTGAACGATCTAAGGGTTACCTTGGAGCCAGCCACAAGGAATCATTCCATACAAACTATGACTAATCTCCTCTTAATCGTATTTCCTTGAATCTGGGTCATTTCATTGTGACAAGTGTCTGGCGCTGGCCCCGGAGCAGTTTTTCATGTGTGCTGTCACAAGTTTCAAACACAATGTTATGCAAAATGACACTCTGGACAAGCGAGGTGAATTAAACTAAATATGTTGTTGTTTTACAGTGTAGCACCATTCCTTGGTCAAAAGTTCAAGGATGCTAACTTAGAACTACAGGGGTCTATTTCCATTAACAGTTTTAGGGCTAGAAGTGGGGATTTTAATATGTTGTCAAGTTATTTTTTTATTATTAATTAACTTGAAAGTAAAGCGAACCTGGGAGTAACAATCCTGTCTTTTTTTTTTTAATAGGATCTGTAAAAAATGAAAAGGGGAGAAAATATTGGCATTAAAATTGGCAGTAACATCAGCAGTTAGTCTCAAGAGAAAGAATGTAAGAACATCAGAAATTCTACACAAGTATTTACAAGCACAGTTAATTTGGGACACTTTGAATTATTAATTACGCAGTATGTGGGGGAGGGAATTTGGGAGTGGAAGGTGTTGCATTCTTATTCTGATTACACCATGTTTTTAATACAATGTAGTTTCATCATCTGCTTCTGAATGGGATGATGCAGCGATAGAAGAACCAGATCCATATCTGGCTGCATGGCTTTTTTCATTCTTCCAAGAAGACCGAGTGGTGCAGCTTCTTGCCTGAAACCTGCTTGGCAGCTGCAGTTATCTAATATTCTTCTTGAGCCCGTAACTGTTTTAATGACCATTTTATTCTAGACATTTCAAGACCCAAAGACAAGGGTCCTGTTCAGCCATGTCTGACAAAATTCCCCGTAAGTAAGCATGGAACAAGGAAAGGTCATTCAAACAACTCCTGGTGCAGAAACAATTTTTGGCTTGAACACTCCGTCCTTTATGACTGTGGCGACTGCATCGCCTGTAGACATTTTTCCCTGCCTAATGTACCAGATTCTGACTTCACATCAGAGTAAGGCTTCTCCAACTGGAAAAAGGTATTGTGCAAGGAGTCCTGGCTTAAGGCCCACTCCAAGTCCATTCATCCATCCATTCGCTAATCCGCTTCATCCTCACAAGGGTCGTGGGGGGCGCAGATGCCTATCCCAGCTGTCTTCAGGCAGTAGGTGCGTGGGACACCCTGAACTGGTTGCCAGCCAATCGCAGAGAGTCGAACAACCATCCGATCTCACACTCACACTTGAGGGACAATTTTTGAGTGTTCAATCAGCCTGCCATGCATGTTTTTGGAATGTGGGAGGAAACCGGAGTACCCGGAGAAAACCCACGCAGGCATGGCGAGAACATGCAAACTCCACACAAACTCCAAGTTAAAGCATCATATCAGTGCAATGTATGCTTGGAGTCAGCATAAAACAGCTACTGAGATGAACATTCATCGAGTGATTTATTTTCCGATCCGCTTTATCCTCACAAGGGTTGCAGGGGGATGCCGAAGCCTACCCCAGATGTCTTCGGGCAGTGGGCGGGGAACACACTGAACCAGTTGTCAGCCAATCGCAGGGCACACAGAGATGAACAACCATCCACACTCACGCTCACACCGAGGAACAATTTAGAGTGTTCACTCAGCCTGCCATGCATGTTTTTGGAATGTGGGAGGAAACAGGAGTACCCGGAGAAAACCCACGCAGGCATGGGGAGAACATGAAAACTCCACACAGGAAGGCCAGAGCCGGGATTGAACCCACGACCTCTGCACTGTGAGGTCGACGTGCTAACCACTGGATCACCGGGCCGCCCTGCAGATGTACAGCCTGCCATAATTTGAGCGAGAGTCTTCCAGCAGTTCCAAGATAGTTGCAGGATCTTGCATTTGAAAGACGTGGTGAACGATCAGTGGAGGCAAGGGGGTCTTGTTTCTCAGTTGTGCAGTACGTGAGGCTTATGACTTCCTTTGGTAAAGTGATTGTTGATGCCAAATGTCTTTTAGACATGCACCAGTCCACCTCTCTTGATCTTGCAAAGACGTGTGTGTGTGTGTGTGTGTGTGTGTGTGTGTGTGTGTGCGTGTGCGTGTGTGTGTGTGTTTGTGTGTGTGTGGAGGAAGAGATGGGGTGATGTTTATGTGTGCTCATGTGTATGATGTGGCCCTTTGCAGTAACACGGTAAAAAAAATCGGCTCTTAGTCTCTAACTGGTTGGTCACCCTCTGTACAACATTCATGTTAATTGTTCATCGTCTTTCAGTTTTTACGTTTTGTACATTGTTAAGAAAGAGCACATTTTGTGCACCAAACTCCTTTGTGCTTAATATGCACTTAAATACATTTCAATATTTAGGGACTCTGATTGAAATTATTTTTTCAATGAAATAGATTCTTCTGCATTTTCTGTGGACCCTCGGAAATAGCCTATCGCTACGACCCCTTAATCGAAGCAGGTCACACTCATGTACTCACCTCTAACACAGCATCACCAACGAACAGCTTCCCTGTCTGATCGGCTGCGGTGATCAATGGACAAGCATTAAAGGTTCATGAAAACATTAGAAAATAATTATTCATTTCAATATGCCCTTCATTTAGTGGAAATAGCAATCAGTCTCTCGATACGACTCATCTTGGGTAGTACCAAACTGTTCAATTCTAACTGGTTAGGAAACATGAAGCACAGACTCTGAAAATAGGCCGCAAGTATTTTTAAGAGGCAAGGGGTGACAAGGAAACTGTTTTTAAAATGACTTATAAAACTGTGAAAATGCAATAACATTTGTGGACACGTTACCTTGGGCAAAATACCGGTAATCCATGCTGAACAAATGGCATCATTACGAGTTGTGCCTTCAGCTGCTCATAATCAAACACTTTGCATGGAAATTCTGAACCTGTACAAACTGTTTCACCAGAGACGGGCGTGTCGGATCTCAGGTGGCCTATTGAGTTAAATAAGGAAAATCCAAAACAACAATGGAATGGGCGTGGCTTACAGTGATTAAATTCGTATTTCATTGTCAAAAAGTCTGGTGGGCATACTTTGGCCCTGAATCAGCATACTTGCATGTCCGGTGGACTGAATATTTTTACGCAAAGTAAAAGTTCTCTCTCACCTGTGCATTTTTTAACAAATCCAAAAAGTAAACAGTATCATTATATGTGTAAGTTTGCATTTGTATAGTGGCACCTCAAAGGTCAAACTCGAGTAAAGGCGATTCCAGCACACTGACTGACTTCTGATTGTATTTATTATTTTATAAAAGTACATTTTTCTACAGGCTTATATTTCTTTTATTTTCATGTACACTGCCAAGACTCATCTTTGCAATATATTTGAAAAATAAATTGTGCCTCCAAGGTCTTCCAAAGGGAAGAATATTTCTCTAGTTGTGAACATTTCTTGCCACTTTGAACAAAGACTTTTTTCTAGCTGTGAACTTTCAAGTGTTGGAAACTACATTCTTACCTACTTGATCTTTAAAAATCTTGGAAATCACCACAGGCACATTATTCTCGGCACCCCCCTGAAAAGCAGGAGAAAGACAGATGAAATCGTCGACCTCAGACATTCACCTTTGCTTGACAAAGTACTTTTCATTTCAACTTCAATGGTTTTATAATCAAAATGGATCTGCTTACTTTGATGCTCAAGCCCAGACCGCCTGTATCTTGTCTTCGGAGTACAACAGTTCTGTGCTTTAGAAAGTGTGATTTTTTTTTTTTTTTGGGGTGGGGGGCGAAAGGATATTATGAATGTGACAAGTAGTCTGGAGTTATGCAGCATGAATCATAACACATCTATGGGGCACTTACATTGACTTGGGATTGGCTTCCTCTTGTGCAAACCACATCCAGCTTTTGTATAGTTAACGCCTCTGTGGTCAGTTTCAGGCAGACGTCATAGGAATTGTTGGTCTCCTCATTGTATAGCAAAGCAATTCCAGATTTCAACTGTTGGAAATGAGAAGTGCATTGACATTTTGTAGAGAAATTACGAGCACAATCAACGTGTAGTCCAGTGATAATTTTACAGTTTGAGTCTCATGATGCGTTTAGAGAGTCCCAAATTTCGAATTCTGAAATGGTCTACTTATTAAATTGCATATGATAATAACACAAACAACAACAATATGCATTGATAATAGCTTTATTTCTTATCAACAAATGCTGCAAAAATTTTAATAATTCAAGCAAACAAGATTTGTTGAGAAATAGGTTCTTATTTAAACCCATGGTTCAGTCTTTGAGTTCATAAATTCTCCTCTCTCAAAGTCAACTTATCATCGCAAAAAACTATCCAACTTTAGCTGCTTCCTCTGTGATATCTCCACAATAAACTTTCGTAACACTTGTTCGCAACACTTGTTTTGTTACACATTTTGGCAATCATCCCGCAAGGTGAAGGCCGATCTCGCCAATCTCGTCTCGAGAGAATGGAAATCTCATCACGCGAGATTACTTTAACGCAAGATCAAAACAACAATGGCAGCGATGATCAAGCTGCGATTGTTGCTGGAAAAAAAGATTTACCGTGGGTTTTTTTTGTTTTGACTGAGAAATTTCCTTGCGTCCCAAAAACGCACATTATTTGGAACTGTGCGTCCCGCAGGAAAATTATGCATAAAGGACGCGGGACACAGAGGTAACGAGATGGCCGGTAGTCCTCTACTCGCAATGAGTCAGTGGTTGTTTTTGTAAATTGTGGACAAAGCGACCTCCAGGCCAAAGAGGGAAAGAACCATCTAAACCGTTTTGGGTGCAAAGTTCAAAAGTCAGCATCTGTGATGGTATGGGGCTGTGTTAGTGCTAATGGCATGGGTAACTTACACATCTGTAAAGGCACCATGAATGCTGAAAGATAAATACAGGCTTTACAGAAAGCAAGACAATCCCAAACCACATTCTGCACGAGTTACAACAACACGGCTTCATTGTAAAAGAGTGCATGTACGAGACTGGCCTGCCTGCAGTCCAGACCTGTCTCCCACTGAAAATGTGTGGCACATTATGAAGCGTAAACTATGACAACGGAGACCCCAGACCGTTGAACAGCTGAAGCTGTACATCGAGCAAGAATAGGAAATAATTCCACCGACAAAGCTTCAACAATTAGTGTGCTTGTTTCCCAAACTATTAATGAATGTTGTAAAAACAAAGGTGATGTAAGACAGTGGTAAACATGACACTGTCCCAGCATTTTTGGAATGTGTTGCAGCCATAAAATACTAAGTTAAGGATTATTTGCTAAACACAATCAAGCTTATCATTTTGAAGATTAAATATCTTCTCTTTGTCGTGTATTCAATTAAATATAGGTTGAACATGATTTGCAAATAATTGTATTGTTTTTATTTGTGTTTAACACAATGTCCCAACTTAATCGCAACTGCGTTGTATATGACAGTAAAATCAAAATTAAAAAAAAATAATTCAAATCTCTCACCACTTATCCAGCCAAAATGTTCAGTTGGGCCCCAAGTGGGGTAAATGCGGGCTTCCTGGGTACCAATTAGGAATGGGTTAGAAGTGGGCAACGGTATTGGGTTCCATGTAGGTGTCATCTGGGATTTGTGGGCATGGGCTTGAACTGGGAAAATGTGATGGGTGCAATAAGGGTTGTGTATGGGCTAAGTGGGAATGGGTTTGAACCGTTCACCTATGTCAGGGTCCCATATGAGCTGTATATGGGCTAAGTGGCATGGTCAGAATATCTGGGTCCTGGATGGGTTATGGATGAGCTAGGTGAGGATTGGTTGGAACTGGTTACCCATGTTTGGGTCCCATATGGCTAAGTGAGCATGAGTTAAAACTGGTCATCCATTTCTGGGTACCATCCATCCATTCATCCATTTTCTGATCCATTTGATCCTCACAAGGGTCGTGGGGGGTGCTGGAGCCTATCCCAGCCATCTTCGGACAGTAGACGGGGGACACCCTGAACTGGTGGCCAGCCAATCGCAGGGTACACAGAGACGAACAACCATTCGCGCTCACGCTAACACCGAGGGACAATTTAGAGTGTTCAATCAGCCTGCCATGCATGTTTTTGGAATGTGGGAGGAAACCGGAGTACCCGGAGCAAACCCACGCAGGCCCGGGGAGAACATGCAAACTCCAAACAGCAAGACCGGAGCCGGGATCGAACCGTTAACACACAACCGTTAACCGTCGACGTGTTAGCCACTGGACAACCGGGCCGCCCCATTTCTGGGTACCATAAGGTTTATATAAGGACTAAATGGGAATGGGTTGGAGCTGGTAAACCATGTCTGGGTCTCATATGGGCTATATCTGGTCTATGCGGGCATGGGTTTGAAAAGTTGTTTTGGAGCCTTTGCCCAGTTCTTTTATCTTTAATGCCCGCTATGCTAATAGTAACCACCAGAAAACTGGTCGGCCTAGCTCAAGTCACCTATCTAATTATTAAGAGGACTAATCTAACATGTTAAAATTGGTCACGTCTAGGTACCATCAGCTTGTGGGATAAGTGAGCATCTGTTAGAGTGGGCCACCAATGTCTGGGCCACTTACTGGCTTAGTGGCAATGCATTAGAACGAGTTACACAAAGATGTGTTACATGGGTCACACATCGGCAAAGAGGGCATATGTTATAAGTTAGAACTAATCACCAATGTCTAGCTGGTTCTTGTATGGCTTTTGTGTGTGTTAAGTGGGCGTTGGTAAGAATCGGCCACTAAAGTCTTGTGTCACATGGGCTATCCATGGGCAAAGGGGGCCTGGGTTAACACGGCTTATGTCTGGATTGGGCCTCTACTGTATTTAGGCAAAGAAGGAATAGATTGGTGAAGCCAACACAACCTGGAGCTGAACACGCTTAAGACTGTCGAGATGATCGTCAACTGCAGGAAACATCCTTCGCCACAGCTGCCCATCAAACTATCCAACTGCCCTGTGTCAACTGGCGAGACCTTCAAGTTCCTGGTAATCACAGTCTCCCAGGACATGAAGTGGGAGGCCAACATTAACTCCATCCTGAAAAAGGCCCAACAGAGGATGTACTTCTTGAGGCTGCTGAGCAAGCATGGTCTGCCGCAAGAGGTGCTAAGACAGTTCTCCACAGCAGTCATTGAATCAGTCCTGTGTTTTTCTATCACAATTTGGTTTGCGGCTGCCAAAAAAAAGGACAAAATCCCACTGCAAAGGACAAATAAAAATAATTACCACTGTGTAATGTCAGAGATTTTCGCTCGGACAGTTGACAAAGGCTCGAACACAGGAACAAATTGTCTTTCACTGCCGGCAGGAGGTGCAGTTCTCCATGAAGCCACTCAGTGTGCACTTCCCACTGTCAACTGACCTCTGCAGCCTCTGCCAGCCTTTTTATTGATTGTGTATGCAAATTACAATACATCAGAAAAACATTCACATCTTCATTTACATACCACACCCCTGGATGGCCTCATTGGGTCGCCCCCTCAGTGGACCCCCAAAGACAAAGCATTCCCTTGGTACCAGCACCAACATCCATAAACTAACAGAAACGTAGACATTTTAATGAGCGGTCTTTCCATGAGCTGATATGTCTGTAACCTGGCTCGTGACCCTTTCTCATGATGGAGTGTACGAGTACTCCTAGAGAGTACTCCCTTCCGTCCAAAGTTAAATCTTCCTTTGTGTTCCTCCATTGTGTGCAAGATGTTCTGAACACAAGCATTTCGAGGTCAATCAAGCATGTAACAAAATGAAACTTTAAAACATAACAACATTGTATTTGTCTACTCTAACATACACCTTGCGGACTTCCACACCGCAAGAACCAAGACAAGGGCATGGAAAATTCTACTGGACTCCTTACACCCTGCCCACTACCTTTTCCAGCTACTCTCTTCAGGCAAGCACAACCAAACAATGTGCATCAAAACCAGCAGACATTCAAAGAGCTTCTTCCCAGTCGCCATGAACTTCCTAAACAGTAACTCATAGTGGCTCTTTGCATTTTTGCGGCTCCAGCTCTGTACATACTTGAACAATTGTCAGTGATCAATATTCTACAGCACCAGGCAGTTTAACCCTCGTGCTCAAGGACTTTCTGTATAATTGCACACCTAAAGCTGTACTACAATTACTGCAATTAGTTACTTTAAAAAATGGTGCAACGATTACTGCACAACCAACATAGTATTGGATTGCACCACACTGATCACTTTTTCTCTGCTCGATGACTCTGCACATTGTCGCACAGCTGTCATTGGGTAGTGCGACTGCACAGTGGTACCCTTACATTACGGAAAGTCTTTGGATACCTATACACAGTGGCGGGCCCTCAGGGCCAGCAAGGCCTTCTCTGCTGGCCTAAACATTCTCAGAAAAGTAAATTTACTTTTATGTATTTTATGTTATTTTATAATTTATGTTATTTTATTTTCATAAATATGTAAACAAAATTATTCTCTGTATTCTTTACGTCATATTATTTCCACTTAGTTGAGTGGCTTT